TTCATTTGCAATGATGGAAAACTGTGGAAAGTCTGTGGTAATTGTCTGCGAAAGTGTTGACAGCCATGTTTTATTTTTATTTTTATTTTTTCTTTGCCTCTTCTCTGAAATTTTGCTTATTTTTCATATGGATTGAGCAATGTGAAAGCGTTGCAATGAAACTCGTTTCAAGCGCCGTTTTTATGGCAAGACTTTGCTAATTAATGCCACACACACACACACGTACACTCAGATAGGCAGAAACACAGATGCAACAGAAGTTGCTCTGGTTTTTCCAGAGTTCACAAACGCTGCGAGCTCTACACAATGCATATGTCCAGACAGAGAGAACCCAACGAGTGAGAGGGAGAGAGAGCGAGAGAGAGAGAGAGAGAGGTAGTCACTGGAAATATCCGAAGCGAGCAACGGACAAGATAAGACGCACAATGCACATAATGAAGGGAACCTGTTTGATGCGCCTCGCAATTGTTGAAATTTATTCCTCTGTGTGCCTTCCTTAAGGGTGGTTCGCAGATGAAATCTGGCTGAACATGTGCATGACTCATGACCCAGTCATGGCCAGAGTCACTCACTCACTCACTCAGTCAGTCAGTCAGTCAGTCAGAATCGATGCTGCGGCAACTAGAAATTGATTTATTGATTGAACTCCGGGCATGAACCTGCACCAGGTGTCGCATTGTTTGCGCCCACACAATGCAGGTGAATAGCCAAGCGGCGCCGGCTCGAAATCATCTTTTTTTCTGTTTCGTAAAGCGGTTCAAGGTTTGCTAGGAATGAGTGCAATATGGCACATGCATACTAAATAGACTTCCTTCATACACTTGTTTGTGGTACAATATTATATAATTTCAAATAAGAATAGGTCCCCTGTATTCGCTAAGCTACGACATAATAGAGCTTACGTATAAATCTAGGGCAAAGCAACTATTTGGCTACATTGCAATCGATGCATCATAGTAAACCACAAGCTATTTCATAAAAAATGTATAGTAACACCCGATGATAAAAATTATATTTGGATTTGTACAAAATATATAAGGATTTATAGCAACTTTATAGTAATTGTATAGTAACAATAGGGATATCTGATAGCAGTAGTATTTCTAATTTGGATTGTTACAATACACATCAAACTTTATTGTACTTTTATAGAAAGTTTATGGTAAATTTATAGTAACAGTGAGGAGTCCAAGCATCCATGATATTCGAGAGTGCTGCAATAGAATTTTAGGTAAATTCGATTTGCAATCAATTTTTATAGCGATCTTATAGAGCTCAACTTTGTCATCAATTGTAGTTTTATTTATAATTAACTTATAGTAACAGGGATATTCGGGAGTCATCGAGTTTTATTGCTATAATTTGTATAGCGACATTTTTATAGCTCAAATTTATCAGAAATTATATTTTGACGGCGCTTTAAATGTATTATCTGCTAACACTTGCTATACATTTTATAGCAAGTATGAAATAATCAAAACTTTCAATGAATCTTGCTATAAATTGTATAGCAAGTATGAAATAACGAACATTTGTCGCTTGAAAGGTATTATATGTTAAATCCGTCGACGAATCTTGCTATACAGTTTATAGCAAGTCTGAAATAAACAACATTTAACTGCCCGGCCAGCAGGCACTTGCCGTAGCACTTATAGCAAGTCGTTTTTAGGCATCGAAATGCGCAAAAACATAAACCCAGTAACTGCCCAAGGGATCGGTCCGTTGAGCAAGCCCACACATTAGGCACACATACACACACATAATACTCGGCAAATACTTATGATAATCGTAGACAAACAACTCATAGATGAGTTGATATAGGCACAGAAGTCTGTGTGTGTGTGTGTGTGTGTGTGTGTGTGTGTGTGTGCAGCACAATCGGAAGGCGGGCCCATTAAAACCAGAAGCTTGACAATGCATGCGAAGAGCTCAGAGCTCAGAGCTCAGAGCGAAGCACGAAACATGAAACACTTTGGAATGTGCGCCTAGAGCGAATCACACATTTAAATTGATATACATATAGATACATGAGCGTACGTTCATATGTGTAGTATGTATATATCCATATACATATATATACAAATATGTATGTATATATTTGCATAAAATGGCATTAAAATTTGCCATTTAGCCAACTTTAATGTACCATAAAACAAACAGCAACGAAGCAAAGTAACTTTTTTTTATAGCTGCAAAGGCAGAAGAAAATAGAAAATAGAAAATAGAAAAGAGAGACAGGTTACCAGCAGACCCTGAAAGTGGATCTTTTCTCAGAAGTGGAGGCGAGGGCAGAGGGGAGCGCCTCTTCTAGCTGCGACAGGCAAATTAATTGCGCCCAGTCCCAACTAATGCGAGTTGGTTAATGTGGCTTTTTGGCTCGTTAGGCGCCTGGAATTAGGCAATACTAAGCCAGGAGGACACATTCTTCTCAATTTCTCTGCTGCAAATGGAAAAAAACGACACTTTACCTAAATAAAAAGCTGCACCTGGCGAAAAGCCAATCAACGTCAATAAGGAAATGAAAATGAAAATAAATAATAAATATTTAGTTAGTGTCTTATGCGGTCTTTACTTCAGAGCTGCAATTAAGCAACGTTTACTTGGGCATAATCGAAATATCTGATAGTTCGATCGTATTAACTAAATGAGCTGAACGATCAGATTAAAACAGATCTGAAATACTGGGAATTATTTAAAAAACCTGTCCTTATATATTCCACATGTTATATGGTTATATGGTTATATAATTTTCTTCAAGTGTATTTGACATCGAAATAGAGGCCACTACGAGGAGACGCAAAACATTGTTGGCAAAACAACAACAACAACAACAACAAATAGCGACACGCGCAAAGCCGCCCAAAACAATTAGTGCGGAATCGCGTTCATCATCATCATTATCAGCATCATCATGGTCATTGCCATCGTCATCACGGACCACATTATCAGCATTTACTTCATTTGGCTATGGTGTCCTGCAGAGCTTGTGGTATTATTGATAGGTCGCCTAATGCCTTTCATTTCTGTTGCTATTGTTGTTGTTGTTGTTGTTGTTTGTGACGTTTGATACGCGTGCTCTCCAGGTTGAATCATATTACATTGTCATTGCGTACAGAACATGTTAAATATAAACATATATATGTACATGTATATAGGTATATATGGATATTAATTACTATATATATATATACATATATACTTCTAGGAATCAGAGTCAAGCGCTAACACCAATCTGCAAAAGGTGATTGCAAATTTGTTGCTTATATAATGAGTGTACAAACTTTTGCTGGCTGTGACAAGCATATCAATTTGCATACAGCAGACAGATAGAGCGAAGGGCTCTTAGATGGTAGTAGTTGATTATATTTAGATTGAGGCTATAAAAAACTGAAGAATCCTTAAGAAACCTTGAGAATTCTGGGAGTTATAAAACTCAAGCTAAATCGCAAATCTCAACTCTGTTCTGGGGTTTCCTCCCGCTAGTTACTGTTTAAGTCTTGAGTTAATAATATTATGTCGATTTCTAAGAATTGTTAGCCGTATAACTAACAAATTTAAAATCTGATCAGTCAGCAGTTATCCAAGAGTATTTTGCTAAAAATTCTCTATTGGATTCAGCTATAAATAAAACAAATTCGAATTGGCTCAAGATCAAATCAAGACCATATCCATTGACCATTGCGCAGAATAAAATTATATTTGTCCTTAACCCGGCGAGTTCCTGGATTACTCCTTTAAAAAATGGAATCGTAGCTTACATATTTCAAATCGGCTCACGTTACAAATCAAACGAATTTGCCTAATTCCAATCCACTTGCTAGATAATCACTTTGGGCCTCACAGAAAAGTTAGCCAAGGCAACACACACGCACACACACACACACACACACACAAACACAAACACAAACACACACAGAAAATCAGAATGAAAAGAAGAAGAAGCAGAGTGAGCTCGCCACTTGAAAAGTCAATAAGCAGCGCAATTTATTTGTATAATTCAGTTGTTCGATGCCAATTACATGTGCAAAGTGCTCAAAAATCCACTTCTCTCTACATACATACATATATCCAAATGTATCTCAAGTGTGTGTGTGTGTGTGTGCGTGTGCGTGTACTTTTGTATGTATATAAATTTACATTTCAGCAAATGCGCTTTAATTGGCCGTCTGTCAGTTGTCATGACAATAATTAATGTATTACCAATTTATGGCCAGAAACATGTGTATCTTCTGCGTGCCTACAGCAAAAGTATCTGCAGATACAAATGTATCTACGCTGTGCTGTACTGCGTGTGTATCTTGGCATAGAAATGGCTTCACGCTGCTTTTTATTTTTCACTTGGCCAAGTTTTTGCCCAAATTTTCATTCTTCTTCCCTTTTTTTCTGGGCCGGACGCAATGGAAATGCGTAGCTTGTTTTCTCAAGCGCATCGCGTGTATCTCAAACTCAATCTCAATCTGTGTCTGATTGAATGGTTGACAGGTCAAATGTAAATAATCAAATTCGCATAAAAAGTAAATAAACAAGTGTCGAACAGATGACAGCCTAATTCACGTCAGATACATCCATCCACTCTCATGTATGGGAGGGACAGCCAAAGGGAGGGGAGACGGATGAATACTTAGCTATTCTAGGCAAACATCTATGTATCGACATACATACAGCTCTGTGAGCTCCCAATAACTTATTAAACTGAATATAAAGTTATACTGTATATAAAGTCTGTTCCTGTAGAATGTTATATAGTTCGGAGTATTACTGAACAGTCTATATCTATACAGAGATCGATATACACATATAACTCTGTTTTCCATTGCAGTTTCCATTCTACTTGGTAACCAATTGAACAAATTTTTTAATTTAATATAAGCTCAAACTCAGTTTTTTTAAATCTGTATTTTTCACCAGTTTTTCGTTCCAACTCTTTCAATTTCCTTGGCAACGAGTTCGCACGCACAAACAGTTGGAATTTAGTTGCTCTTTGATTTCTTCCAACTTACCGTTAGCATCTATGAAATGCGTGTAATCGGCTACTAATCCATACAAATCGTTATCCATTTACAAAGTTATAGATTAAACACAGAGAGTAGGCAACTTCTTTATAATTTTTTTTTTTTTTGCAATTGCTGTTGCTGTTTTTCTTTCGCACTCTTTGCACTATAATTCGTATATATTTTATGCACTGTAAACTTTATGCTCGTATTTAATTTCACTTATTTCATTTCGTAGTTTTGTTTGTTTTGGGGCACTTTTGGCAACTGCTTCAACTGCGACGCTCAGTCGGGCAGTTAGTCAACCAATCAATCAATCGATCAGGTCAATCCGTTAGTCGTGCCGGCGTAGTGGGTGCGCGCTGTAGACGCCAGGACATGCCGGACAATGCAGACAGACAAACTGCAGACGCTAGTCTGCCGTCGCAGTCGCCGTCGTTGTCGCGGTTTAACACGCCGCTGATGCTCTTTCTCTCTATGTGTTGATTACGTAGCGCAGTCGACGTCGCTGTATGATAAACGTTACGGCCGCTGCCGCTGCGGCTGTTGTTGATGTTTGATAGTTCCTGTTGTAGGTGTGTGTGCGTCTACGTGTGTGTGTGTGTCACTCTCTCTCTCTCTCTCTCTCTGTGTGTGCTGTGGTGGTGTGTTTGCTTTCACTGTAAAATGTTTAGTTTCATGTGCGTTTTTATTTACACATTTTGTCTCATTGTTGTTGTTGTTGTTTTTCTATATTTTGCTTTTTCTATTCTATTTATTTATTTTTATTTTCTTTTTATTTTGGCTTGTTGCTATTTTAAAGCATGTCGCATGCAGCGGCTGTTAGAGGCAGATTTTCAATTCATATACATATATATAAATATATATGTATAAATATATAAAACTGTTGCACTTCAGACTGTTTTGTTTTTTGTTTTTTTTTTTTTTTTTTCAGCTACGATGCATTTGCACTTTGTTTTATCTAAATATATTTTATTTCAATTGCACTTGTGTTTAACAATTTATATTTATTTTATTTTGTGTTGTTTAGCATAATTTTGTTTTAGTACTTTGTTTCAACGCGTGTTATATTTAAGAGTTTCGGTTCAACCGTTATGTTTCATTAATAATATTTTTTATTTAAACAATTATTTTATTTATTTTTTATTTGGTATTCAAAAGCAAACCGCAAAAAACACAACGAACGAACGAGCGAACGGGAGAACGAACCGTTAACGACAAAGTCCAAACAAATACTAAATGTAAAGTCCAAACAAATACTAAATGTTATTGCTCTGTTAAATTGGAAATGACGAAGTGCGGCAAACTCACCACGAAACCCACCACCGACACTGCAAGAGAGAGAGGGAGAGCGAGAGTGAGAGCGTACGCCGCGACGTCGACAGCAGCCCACACCAGAGCGAACGTGCGCTCACTAGAAGTCGAAAACGGAATCAGCGCTAAAGTTAAATGTGAAGCGCAGCGCACACACGCATAAATATCTTACGCTCTTGCACACACACAAACACACGCAGTAGCGAGTGGCTTGAATGAAAATGCCGATGCAATCGCACGCTGCTCTTTGCGTTGCCTCTCCGGCACGTACACACACACACCCATAAATAGACGCTCACACAGCACACACATACTACACACATAAGCCGCGCTCTTTCCTCCGCCGTTGTGTGTACACCCACACTCAAAACCATAAGGCGTGTCTGCGTTTGTGTGCGTGCGAGTGCCATCATCGCTTTCCTTTATATTTGCCTCCTTTTAGTTTCTCTTTTCTTTTTATTTTCGTTGATTTTTCCTGTGTGTGAGTGTGTGTGTTGTGTCTGCTCGCACTGCTGCTGCTGCTGCTGGTGGCGTCGTCGTCGGGTGCACAAGTGCAAATTCACACGTACATTCGAAATGTGTTCGCACAGTGGCACCAAAACGATTATTACCAACATTTCCAGACGCTGACAGCCGCCAGAGACAAGGGCAAATCCGAAGTTGGGAAGTTGTTCGTTGCAGCGGAGACGTTGGAATTTTCTAGTACAATTGCACTCACATTATATTGTATGTAAATTTGTATGCATATGTTTATGTATGTGTATGTGTATGTGTGTGTGGATAACTATTTACATACTGTGGATGGAAATGAATGGAAATGGAAATTTGTAAACAAGCGAGTGAGAGCTAGGAAAATGTAGTGTTAATTTGCTTTTTCTTTCGTTACAGAGAAACTGCAAATCTGTGTAACATAATATTAAACTAAAATATTATCAGAAGAGGGAAATTTTATAATATTTTCTTTTCATTTCTTATAATTCAGAAAGTTATCTAACTGAATATTCTAAATAAATTTAATTTAAGAATCAAATAGTTTGTTGTATTCGCCGCCTCTCCCTCTCTCTCTCTCTCTCTCTCACACCCACTCTCGTTTTCTTTGTTATTTTACAGTATCTTTGACGTAAGGCGCTACCTTAATACGTACATACGTATCTTATCTCATTGGTTTTATCTAAAGACAGAGACATAAAAGTCCCAAAATCATTCAGAAATCCAATTTGTTTGAATTACAAAATACCAAGGTCTACACACATATGTACATATTTACCACCCGATATACGTCTAGATAACAATATTTAACAAGTGCATTTAAAAGTGCATGCCAGAGCTAAACAAATCAATTTGTAATAAACTAATACAGCAAGGCATACTATATATACTTGATATCGGTCAAATGCAAATCTACGAAATCAAGTACAAGCTTTGCCTTGTAGTAAATAGCAGAACAAATTCAGATTCAAATACAAATATGAGAAAATAAACATGAAAACGAATTTGAGTGCGAGTATACATACATACATATGTACATATCTAGAAGTATGTACGTGTGTAGAGCGACGACGTGCTGAGACGTAATTGATGAAAGGCAAAGATCTACAGCGCAAACACTGAACAACAAAAATAATAACAACAACAATGGGAAAAACTCAACTAAAGCAGTCTAAGGACGCAACTGCGACAGCGACAGCGACAGCGACGGCGACGTCGACGTCGACATATGAAATTGCACATTTCAAATACAATGTGGTTAAAAAGTAAGCGCAGAGGCAAACAAACAGAGATACAGAGATACCGATAGAAGGGGTCGGATCGGGGGGAGGTAGAGAGCAAAGGGGAGCAGCAGATAATTGTAGACAGTCAGACACAGTCTGTCTGCATACGTATACATATGTATGTAAATATGTGTGTGTTGAGTTAACGCTCGGCAAGTTCAAGTGTAGAATGCAATAGAGCGCTGCAAGCAGCAGCAACAACGACGCCAAGAGAGCGAGAGAGACGAACAGAGAGAGGGAGAGCGACAGCGCAAAGAGCGAAAGCGTCTACGCATACGCATAGAAAAAAGCCGGCAAACGGCAAGGGCAACAGAGGCAGAGAGCGCGCGACTGCTAGCGAGTGAGGGAGCTGCAGCTTGGGGAAATGCTCTGCCGTCTGTGGTGAATTTGCCGTTTGGCAGCATTTCATTTTGGGGGTTGGCTAGACACATTGAACCACAAAAGTTCAAGATGAAAACACAAAATATCAACAATGACAGCTGAGTATGAAATGCGGTGTGGAGAGGGGGACACATCGCATTCTCTCTCACTCGCTAGCCGCTGCCTCTCTCTTTCTGGGGTTCTTTCTCTCTCTCTCTCTCTCTCTCTGGTTTGCATATGTGTGTGTGACTCGACTGCTTTGGCCGACTGCCAAACGTTCAGTAGTACACTGGAGCAATTTGGGTGTGAATGCAACTGCGGGTGCCTATGTGTGTGTCTATGTGTTAGTATGAGTATGAGTGGGTGACTGTATGTGCTTGCTAGGGCGTGTTGGGCGTCACGGCTATCATTTGTTGGGGTAGTTCGCTGACGGCAAATAGCAAAAAACAAAGTAGCAGACACATTCGCAGTCTCAGTCGCAGTCGCTGCCAACACACACACACGTATGCGTGTCCAGCCTGCTAAAAAAAAAGCAGAAAACTTGTCTACGCAGCCGTGTCATACAAGCTGCTAAAATTATGCGAAGACACACAAATCTACTGAACGAGCAACCGACAATGCAGTTAGCTTCGCTGCTGCTGCGCTGCTGGCGTCGCGATGTCAGTGTGTTTGTTGTGTTATCCATGGGCGCTCGCTCAAAGGCGCTCTCCCTCTATATCTTTCGCTCGCTCTCTCTCTCTCCCTCTCTCTCTCCCTCTCTCTCTCTCTCTCTCTCTCTTGCTCATAACTGCATAGAGACCGTGCACATAAAAATCATAATAATTTGTTGTATTTTCCTTTGCCCGGTTCGCCTTGTTCGGCTAGGTTTCGCTTTGCTCCGATTATGAGTGCGAGCGAGAGGCACAATGGCAAAGTCAGGTTTAATATCGTTCAGTGGCGCGCGCGGCATTCGCAGTTGAGGCAGGCAGCGGCCGTCGAGCAGTAAAAGAATATGAGAGGAGGGGCACATGGGGCTGGGGAGGGCTTCAAAAGTGAGGCTGCCACCGATTGTGGGCAGAGAGACAACGTGAACAACTAGAATTGACAACGACAACACAAACAGCAACAGAGAGAAGTTGTCGAAGCGCTAACAACAGCATTTCGCATTATGAAAACTATTTAAGCCATTTCATGGAATCACTTTCATCGATCGATTATCATAGATAATTTAATAAGATTCATCAATCCAGTTACTTGTATGCATATTTAGATAAATTGATCGAATGTAAAATAATCGATTATTCTAAATCGATTATACTTATGAAAGACTCTCCAAATAAATTATCGCAAATAAAAATTATTAATTATGAAGAAACGTAATTCAGTAAGTCGTGCACATAATAGGCTTATAGGAATCACCTATTAGCAACTGTGTTTTTTACATTACACATTTATCAAATTTATATATGAAATATCGATGGCGATATGGGGATCTGAGGACTGTACCCACAACATAGGGCTGCCCAGATACTTAACTTTAGAGCTTTTCCTACATTTTTCATTAGCATATTGGAAGCTATATATCCATAAACGGCAATTGGACTTTTGTCATTGCGATAGCTGGAAATGCATTTGTAGTTCGGTTATCAGGGAAATATTTTAGAGCAAGGGGCGGGAGGGGCGGGTTTTAGGTTGGTGGGGTCAACTGCAATTGACCGCCAGTTAGGAAATTTTGTTTGTCGCTTCGATTCACTTTGTTTCGTTTCGATTTGTTTCGGTTATTTCAATTTCCAATTTTTATGTGCGTGCATTTTTCACTTAAATAAGTTTTATGTTGACTTCTGCCTTCTGCCTTCACCACCTCCAAGCCCCCCTGCCAACGCTCTCTGCTTCGGCTTGGTATTTTATTTTCTTTTATTGCATATTGACATTTCAATTGCTTTTTATCAGCGCAATTTATTTCTATGTCTTTTTATATGGCTGTCTTCTGATTGCTGCAGCCAGAACAACGCGCCACAGAGAAGTGCAGAGTCGCATTAGGTTGGTCGAGTTTCAATATGGTTTCCACATGGAGCTTAACTTAAACTATCTTCTCTTACATATCTTACATATCTATCTGTATACATACTTATCTATGCATACACTTACTCGAATGCGACAGCTCAACTGCGGTAACTCACCTGCAAAGGACAAAGATAAAGAATGTGATTAGTTAAGCGTGACTCAAAGATGTTTTATTTATTTGTATTTTTTCTATATAGATAATGATTTTTATGATTTATACATCTTAATTCTCAGTTCAATTGTTACTATAAATGTAACACTTAGAGCACCCATAAGAATATTTTCTCCTTTCAGCTCCCTCCATCGCGGTAATCGAAACTACTTGCAATACTTCTTTAAGACATATAACTCCAATAATGACATTAATATACTTTACAATGTTGAGCAATCTGAATTCTATGTTCCCTAAGTTCCTTTATCTCGCTTTTATTCGTATAGAATATACTTATGGGTCTTTCTCGCTCTTTCGTTTTATCTCTCACTCATTCTTTATGTACGTTATCTCCTGTCAATATCCGACTCTCTGGTCTTTCTATTTCTCTCTATCGGTCTCCCTATCTCTTTCACGGTCTAGCTATCTCTGTCTCGTTTGTCTCTCGTTGTCTCTTTATATCTATCACACTCTCTCTCGCTCGATCGTCGTTGCTGTATATATTCACACCCTCTCTCACACTCTCTCTATCCCATTCTCTCTCAGTCGCACTCTCTTTCACTCTCACTTCTCTCTCCTTTTTCTCTTCTTTCTCTATCAGTCCTTCTTTCCTCTTCTTATCTCTCTTCTCTCCTCTCTCTTTCATACTCTGTCTCTTTCCCTCAATATTACTTTCTTTCTCACTTATCCCTCTCGCTCTCTCTCTCTGCCTCTCTCACTCGTTTTACTTGTGCCTCTCTCTCCCTCCCTCAGGTGCTATCTCTGTATCTTTCTCTGTCTGTCTAAAGCTTGATTATTCGTGCACGTTTTTCATTTCAACGCGCCGTGCTAAATGCAAAATGCAAATTCAAATTGAAAATTGCTACTCTCAACGAGACGACACTCGACGAGCTGTCCAAAAAAAAAACGCAGAAGATAACATAACAATAATAATATCCATTCAGCCACATAGTTAAGTATACTATGCTCTGGACAGGGGCGTAGGCAGAACATGTAAGAAAGGGATCTCCGAAAATACATTGATATATTGATTATATTCAAACCATAAACATTCTGTTAAGTTACTGCAAAGCTCTACAAAAAGAAACTAACAGAGAGGCACACCTATTGAGTAATTATTACCATTGATTAAAATTGATTTTATTCAGCCAAATTCAGCCACTATTAACTTTTAAACAGTATAAATCTTTATATATATTAAACGTAATCATTTATTACCATATATTTCTAATATAAATTTCTAATAAATATATCTCCAGAAGTCATGTGACATATATGAACGAATATATTTATTTTTTATGCCAACTTGCGTGACACACCTCTACTCGATGTGACAATTGCGAATAGCTATGTAGCAAATATGTAGATTGATCATTCTCGAATATAATAATACAACTGATAACACTGTAAATATGTTGTAAATATATAAAAAAAATAACTGAAGCGAATTAAAGTATAATTAAAAATAATTCATACATTTTAATTTATATTATTATAAGCATTCTTGATAAAGAGTTTTTAAATTTTAAGAATAAAAAATATAATAATATTCTTTGTCATATTTTCAGCGAAATATATCATATAGTTATAGTTTAAAAGTGCAAAAAAACTTAAGCGATTAAAACCGTGTTGTTTGTTTAGGGCTACAAATCCTTCCACTATTTCTATATATTTTTTTAATTATTTATTTATGCTATTTTTAGCTTTAAATATGAGTATTTGGGAATTTTAAGAAAATTAAATAAATACATTATAATACCAACTTAGTCCAGTTTATTAGAATAACCGTAATTTCTTAGTCAAATTCTGAAAAAGTTCAATATTCAGATGAATTATTTTCGATTTTCCTTTAGGACACGAACCCCCTAGACAAGAATAATAGAGCCCTGCTCGGTTAGAGTTTGATTTGGATGGAAACTGATAGCAAACGAGGCCACAAACATGGTGGGCGTGGCACCTCCACACTGCTATCGATAGTAGAGAATAGCTATATCACCTGCACCACCTGTGCCACTTGTTGCAGCTCTCATTTTAAATGCATTCGCTGCAGACAGACAGACAGACAGAGAGACTCGTGTGTTTGCACATCCTTTGACAGTTGAGCCCTGTTGGGACTGGCATTGGATTACAGGATCTGCTGTTGGGACACGCCGCAACACGCGCTGTACCCTTTCCCCCTTCCCCCTTCCCCCTTCCCCCGTCCCCCGTCCACGTACCCCTCGTCCACTACCCTCTCCCTCGCACGACCTTTGGCCTGGCTCAAGGCCCTTTTTGCTTTGCTGGTCAAAATGGCGACGCAGTTTCTCTTCGGAGGAGTAGATACTGTGCGGCAAGGGCAGCTGAAACAGCACCGCACTTGCCTGCACATGCCACACGCAATCTGTGTCGCATTAACCACGTGCCACGCCCATCGCCCAACAACAGCACCGCCCACTTGCCATTCGCCAGTCCCCTCTCGATGGCTGTGCTGCATGTAAATTATTTTTAAATACCACAAATATTTAAGCAGCTGCAAAAGTTAAAGTTCCAACTCGAGCGAATTTTATTTGTGCGTTCCTTAACAAGTAAATGAGCGCCTCAAAATAAATTAACTTTATATAAATAAATGAGCTTTCATAAATTTAAATTTTTAAATAGACTGTGACTTTTAGCTGCCCAATCCAACTTGAGAAAAATGCAGTTTTGGATCAAGTTTTTTGCTAGAAGCTAGATATCCCCATCATATGCAATTCGAGAATATACCAAATTTTATAAACGTCTTTCCGTTCCCGATATAATTAACATGATCTAAAATTTGGGTAATAGAGTGACTGTATATTTTATTGATTGATGGGAAATCAGGATACAATGGTTTATAATGTATATTATTATTAAAGTACCAATCTCAGGGTCCATAAGAGCTAGGGACCTATACCCAGTTTGTTAAAAAATAAATCGACAGCTATTCCCGCTTCAATATTATCGATTAAAAACTGTTACCTTCACTTTAAAGTCTGAAAATGTTATATTTATTTCAAGGTATATTTTATGAAACTACTACATTCTGGATGTCGGCCCTTCTTAAATCGATCATTTTCCTTGAGTGGAATTACAAACAGTATGTGGCGGTATTGGTAGAGTTTTTGTCCACAAGTTCTGCGATGTTAGGGCCTTGAAGCATCCTCAAAAATTCGTATACATTTATGAAAGATCAAGCTATGGGGCTCATCTAAAGATGCAAGTCGGGCGGTCTCGAGGGTAACTTGTTGTTGAGCATCCTAGGCTTGCTTAGAGCTTCTTCACTTTCTCTTCCTTTCTAAATGTATACAAAAAATCTCCGAAAGTCATATATAAACCAGATTATTGTACATATATGCATTCAAATGAATATCTGTATAGGTTTGTCGACAATTGACAACCGTCTCTCAGGCAGAACCTGTATGAATGTACGTGTGTGTGCGTGAGTATTCACAAAAATATAAATGTGCTCAGATTCATACTCATTTTGTTGCGCCCGCCAGTTCAATGAACGACTTGTCGACTGCGGTTATTACTCATTTTGGCGTTTTTGTGGGGCGCAAACTTTGTGCCTAATTAAATCAACAAAGCGCTGGAAAAACCACACACACAAACACCACAATGCAGATACACACCCTCACACACGTCCCGTTAATGAATCTAAAACAAAACCTTTTCATAATCAAATGCAATTATAAAGTCAAAGCCCAAAACAAATTAATGAAATTTAACTATATAATAACAGCAATACCGAATTCCAGAAATGTCCTCAAAGAACCCTTAATGGACTGCAAGGCTAATGGGGTGGCGCTAGTAGCGCTAGTGGTGCTGGTGGTAGTGTCGATTTATCTGCTAATGTATATCAAAACCTTTTTCAAAATGAAAGTTTAAACAAGTGCGAAATTTGTTTTCATATTTCGTTTTGCCTCTTCTTTAGTCCGATTATAATTAACTTGGGACATGTTGGTGACGCTTTGGCGGAATATGCTTATAATACTCTATAAATTGAATATTAGGGTTATGTTTTATTTATGTCTATTCCCAAATCATTAATCAATCAATAGGAAAGAAATATACGATCTCAGAAGACACAAAATCTTCAGAGCGAAAATTTGGCATGCATACTCGCGCATACCATACGCAGTACGAGTTTGTCTTATTTTTTCGATAAATCATACGATAACTTTTTATCGAGAATAATCGAAAAATTAATTTTGTTTTTTTCAGACATGGAAACTTCAGATTTTCTGTGTATATACATATAATGAATACAATCATTTTATAATTTACAGATTTTGGATACGACGCCCCCTTCGCTCCCATTGAAAAAAAAAAAAAAAAACAAGTATTTCAAGTACAGAGGGCTATGCGTCGGAATGTACACACATTTTAACATTATGATTACGTTCATTAAGATCGTACGTCTAGAAATTAAATTATTCAACATATAAATTCTCATAATATTGCCCACACTGCAGCGCAGCCCAAACGCAGTCGCTGCTTACTGCGCAGTTAGCAGCGCGCGTTTTTATACAAATGTGTGGATGCATGTGTGCATAAAAGTGCAGAATGATTAGAATATCAGCTTGGAGGGTTCAGGGTATCTCCTAGTCTCGACTAGAGGACTTTGGTTTTTCTTTTTTCTGATTCTGTTTTCAAAATTTTACAATAAATATTCAAACTACAGACATTTTTCTAATACATATAATTTATAAATTTAAATTACAGTGTATCTGCAAATCAGCGAATTTATTTGCTAAAGCTCTGTTATGGCATTAGCTAGTCAACTCTAAACTGTAATTGCCACACATGCAAGAGCCAAGCGAAGGAAATTGATGACGTCTGTCTGTAAGGATTATATGACTTTACAAAATAGAAGTAAGTTAGCGCGACAAGCCATTAATTAGCCCAAAGAGTGGAGAGAAAATTGCCCAAGATGACATTGAGAAACGGAGGAACATGTCTTAGAATCTATGGAAATATTATTTCATTCAAAGCCAAACAACGCAATGGAACTGGTCGTGCAATCGGGCACTGCATAATATGTTCTTATGTATATTAAGTGATTAATTATATATACATATATCCATAAAATTTGAAAATATTGGAGAGAGTTGAGGCTGGAACTGGATGGTTTCCAAATGTATTGTATGCTCATTAATATATTATATTACATCCATAGAAGAGATGGAAAGTAAAGTAATATTTTAAATTTTCCTAGCTCAAAAACTTTTTAATATACAAAACTTTCTATTAGAGAAGAAACTAAGAGAAGTGTCCTGTTCTATGCGTATTCTTGAAACAGATTTCTAACATGTTTTAAAAACGAAATAAGCCACGACATAATTGTTCTCATATTCATAATCCAAAATTTATTTCAATATCTGGTTTTCAATTATTTTGTTTTTGCTCGAAAATATGCCAAGTCCCCTTTAAGAGGGCCTTGCTAGTAGATCACAAAACAAAATTCTAAAAGTTACATAACTCTAATAGCTTCAATAAACCAAAAGAAATTCCAGCAAATCGTTTTTACGACCGAACAAAGCAGAGCGAAACCCTTCTAGAAATGAGAAGCTTTGCAAATTGGATAATCTGCTTGGGTCTGTCCCTTTTAATATGGACCATCTCTTACTACTCACAGATGATGGCTTTCCAAGTGGAAGCAGAGCAAATGGGTAAGTTCAAGAGAATAACAGTAGAAAACTTGTGATCAAAGCAGCCGTGTCATGAGTTTATAATCTCTAAATGTTAAACAACAAATGACTTTCACACGTGACACAACAATGAACTATAATATGGATACGAACAATACATTAGATGAGGAACTGCAGGACGCGTTTTCGGACACTTGCAAGAGCAGCTCCATTGATATATACTTACATTTCTTTTGGATCTTCGCATGCATATACGCGCTGTCCAAGTTTACGGAGCTATCGGAGCGCTACTTGAGCGCGAAGATCGCTTCGAAGGAGCGCAGCTCGGATATGCGCGTCTTGAACGAGGAATGGGAGAAGACGCTCAAGCTATACGAACTGGATAAGAAGCAATTGGACGCTCAGCTGCAGGCGCTACGCGAAAAAAATGGAGGCTTAGAGCAATCGATGCGAGATCTACGGGATTGCAATTTGCATTTGATCAGTGAGAACTTTATGCGCACTGTGCTGCAGGATCAACAGATTCAGGGCTTGGCTCAGCGTGTTCAGGATCAACAACCCTCGAATATCTATATAACCAATCGACATATTCACTTGACCCGACAGGTCTTTCTCAACGATGGACAGGTCAGCCTCGATCGTCAGTTGCGCAACGTGGGCGGACAGGAGCAATCGCTAAACGTGTGGGTTCAATACCTCAAGATGCGCAAATGTTACATGGGGCCCATAGCTGATCCGAAGTTGGTGCTGAACAACTACACGGAGCATATGATGCCCATTGTCATGACGACCGAGCAATTGGCCAAATTGCAGGGTATGTCTCAAACTTATTCTCTACAGACCATTCAGAACGGTTCGCATTTCTTTCTTTCAGGCATGCTTTGACTTTTCTTTGTGATAGTTTTGTTTGGTTTTTGATATGGGGGAAATGGAACACATAGTATATCGATGAATACATTTTTATTCACCAAAGTTCACCCCAAAAAAAGAAAAGAACAACAGAAATATTGCTCACTGCAAATATGTTAAGATAAACAAAAGAAGACTTTCGTATTGTTAATAAAAAGAAGAAAACGGTTTGTATATATCCATTCACTTATATACATAGATTTAATAACTCTTCTTCGCAGTATAAAAAACTGTACGAAATGTTTGTACTTCTTACTTGGGACTTATGAAGTGTCTCACCTTTTCTTATGCTAAAATCAACAATCAGCGAATCGACAGGTCACATGCTTCCAGTCAGGTGTTACAGATTTATTTGCAATCAAACTATATATGTTTACAAACATTTTGAATGGTATATTAGTGCATTATGTAACAAGTATAGTAATTAAATGAATCAACGATTAATTATCGAACTCGAGAACTCAGCATTTTCTGGTTTTCTTTTTGGGAGCTTCTTCCAATTGCCGATTCAGATCTGAAACGGTGGGAAATTAAATATCATGGACTGTAAACTTGCATATGTTGAAAAATACCATATGTTTTAGTCCTTCTTAGACTGATCATCTTGATCGCTTCAATATAACTGCTGTAATTTATTTATGAAAACTTTCTAATGTTAAGACCGAAATAAACTTTTATATACTTCCCAACTTCCAATTTATGTATACATTGCACATTTAACTGAAAAGTCAAAGCTAAGGATGATTTTATTTTAGTTAATTTTTCAGTTTTATAAGGTTGCCGATCCCATCAAATTGGAATTCCTCTATAGGTTAGAATACAAATGAACTGTATAATAACAGCTGTTTAACAGCTCAAGGGAGCGTCGTTATAACCGGGGGACGTTATATCCATATAAGTTTGCTCATATTTGTTTGTTTTGGGACCAGCATTCCGTCGCAATAACCGTACGGACGCCATAAGCGGAGTCGTTGTAACCGGATTCTACTGTATATTGTTATATAATATACATTTTATATTATACTATCTATACCAATGTTACAGATATAGTTTCCAGTAATTTCCTCGTTTTAAAGAGTTTCATATGAAATCATAAAGCCCAAAGCGTCAACAGCTAAATGCAGCCGGAGGGGGTGAGAGAAGCGGCCAGGAAAGAGAACGATGACGTTTCACGCCGATGACTTATCAGAGGCAGTGTGCATGCTCTCCGTCTGTTTCTTTCGCGCTGCTCTCAGTTATTCGCTTTATTCACGCTGGGGTCAGTGGCAGTTATCGCTGCAATTTTGTAATCAGTCGACGGCTCAAGGTTAACAGAAAACCACCTCCTGCTCCCACACGTCCCTTTCTCTCTCTCTCTACCACACACACACACACACACACACACACACACACATGTATATATATATATATCTCTTTTTCTCTTTTTGCATTTGCATATAGGCATATGTGTTTGTCTTTATTTTCGTACTTTTCCCTTTGTGTTTTTTTTTTCAGTGTATTCCATTTTTGATTTGGTTTTACTTTTATTGAATTTTATTTCTTTGTGCATTTTTTGGTGACTTTTTCTGGGTCATTTGCCAGTCTGGCAGTCGGGTAATTTTTTGTGTCACATTTCGTTTTGTAGACATGTTTGTTAATTTAGATTTATTGCCATTTAAATGCACCTCCTTTGTATACATTGATTGTATATTGCGGCCTCAGTTGACGATTTCTACAAACATTTTATGGCTATTTATTTTGTGGTCTTTATTATACTCTCCTTTCAAAATAAAGTTTCAGGGTAAAATATTTCTATCAAAAGGAAACGGGTATGATTATATATGTATATCCGTTCGTCCATCCGTCTATCCGTATTTGAATAGAGCCACTGCTCTTTGACTGTTCTGTAACTGTTGTTGAATACGATCGATAAAAACCAATATCACTTGCAAACAGATCCAATCCGTGAACAGGTTTTTAGTAAAATGGCAAATATTCAATAGGTCTACTCATGTCCGTCTGTACGTCCAAACGCGCTTCAGCACCTATAATAAATGGTGGTACGGTAATTTAGAGGCACTCTTTACACTCATATGTCTCTTCAATTATCAGACACTTAAGATACTCTTACTTGACTCAAGTCTTTGCATTGGGGCGGCTCTCAGGAGTAATTCTAATATTACACACACCATTAATAGCTGAGCTCAATATGGTTTCATTGTTGGCAAGCACTGGGCCACAGCACACTCCCTGAAGCACTTTGGCACATTGCGTCGCACAATTATTCATTACACTACACACTTTCTGGGTCACAGTTAACAATGTCAACAACGTCATTCGGTTTGCCACCCGCATACGCCCACATATATCTCTATACATATACATATAAGTAAGTACATATATAGAGCCGAAAGCTTCGCACTTAGTAGTTTTAATTGTTTTGCTCGACATTGTTGACACCCGCTAGCCCCTAGCACCGCCTTTTAGCAGCCCTCTCTCCATTCACGCCAGTGCTCCAGACAGGCGCTTACATAAAGCCAGATATGACGCTGTACCTTGAATAGGTTTCAGCCATGCTCTACGTCGATATCAATCGCATACCAAATTCGAATTATTTATAGAGATAGATAGATATTCAAACCACCTGCTCCCCCAACATCAGTTTCGACCACACCCACCATAGAACTTTACAGAATTGCTACTGCGACGCACTTTGCACTATTTTTATTTGCATAGATAATTTGTTTACGCATCCGGAAATAGCCCATGAACAGACGAGAATCAAATTGAAGAGCGCAGAACAGAATCGAATAGAATAGAGCACACATCTCTTCGTAGATTGGCACACTAACCCCAAGAAAAGTGGGATACACAGGCATGCTGTTGTCATTGGCCCCATTTCGCTGATAGATAAAATAGTTTATCAAGGTTGCGTGCAAAAAAAAAAAAAAAAAAATCTCCTATTCATAAACCAAACAATAAAATAAAACCATAGTCGACTAAAAGATACCCTGCGATCTGCAGTTTTTAATCTTTCATGAAATGATATAAAATTAGATTACATTTTTTTAGCTACGAAGAGAAAAAAAAAACGAATATAAAAATAAATACATATTTATATTCAAATTAATTTAATGAAAAAAAATAGCTTTCATTGACACATCAATATCTGTTGAGTTATATCACAAGCTTTCCATATACAAAGTTAATTTCATGTGATCGCAACAAAGTTCGGTTAGCGTTCGATTGAATAGGTTCGTTCATTTATATCTAACATTCGAGGCATCTTCTGACGCCCTCAATTAAATTCACCATACAACGACTACATATATATACATATACAATACTTTCACCGACTTTTTCAGATGTGTACGTATTTTCGATATGGCCCCACATCAAAAACATTTATCGCACATGGCGAAACGCAACATTAATTGAAAGCGACCTTGAGATAATGACCTCATTTATGCAGATAACTGTGTTTGTGCTAGAGTCAAATTCTTTGCGTAGCTGCTGAATGAACCAGGAAGCGAGCCAATAACAATATAAAAGTAATTAGCTGTTTATATGTGACTGAAAGAACCACAACAATAAAATAGGCAAATGCTAAGGTAAAGAAACATGTGTGCTATAATATGTTTCATATACCCGTCTACGAGATGCCCTGAATCCTGGCGTATCTGGGTTTTCGGATATACGAATCTATGTGCTTACTAATTTCGATTCGATGTTCTGCGTCATTCGAAATCCAATCGAATTTCAATAACATGTTTTAGAAAAGAAAGGTATTAGCTCTAAGACATCGATATGTTTGGGACCCGATGCGCCGTACACTGCACCGCATTGTAGTCCTTGAGCAATTAGTGATATTAAAGAAACGCCTGAAAACTTGAATTCAATTCCAAAAGTTTTCAATTTTTGGAAACAAGTGTGGGTGTTGTACGGGCCATTAAGAAGAGTTAAGAATACATATTATAAGAATCTATGGGATCTGTCCACCTCTTTTTGTCTGCTACAAATCCTTTATTGATTTCCACTTTTCATTAGCTTTACAGTATAATTACCCGTATTCAGTGGGTCACCTTGTACTTCAGGTTATATGTCTATGCAGTCTATATACATACACATATAGCTGATAAAAATTGCATGTTTATTGAAGCATTAAGCGGTTCGCATATTAAACAGCTGCGTAAATTTCAGAGAAAGTGGAAAATGAAGGGGGAATAAAATGGAGATCAACGATAATAAAATTCTGTTAGCGAGAGCAACCAGTTTTCAATTTTCGATATCTTCAATAAGCAATCAACTCGATGTACAGAAAGAGAAGAAAGCAAATTGTAAAGTCAAATGCGAAATTGAGATAAATAAATCAGCATTTGCAAACAGCATCATAAAAATTCAATAAACCGAACTTCTGAAATACAGCCGAAAAATGGTCAATTATTGCAGCAGGGTCAATAACATCGCCATGGAATATCTAAACAGCTGACAGATCCTCATGCGTCATATGACAAAACAGAAAACGTAATGAAAGAGAAACGCAAGAAATGAAAAGAAACATTGAACTTGAAATTTAACATAGAAATTTTTTAATAAACAACAATAATGCTGTCTGCGATAAGAAACGTGGAACAACTGGGTACTAGCTTAGAAAAGGAAGTAGAAAACGAATAATGCATACAATTGTCGGAAATAGACGACGTCGGAATACCCTATATGTATCGTTGACTGACTCTATTCTCAATTTATGAGTCCTTCTGTATGTGTGGTCTGTGGCCTATACATTATCTTATAGCTCCTATCCGTCTACCCTTCAGGTTACTCCAATCACTATGATGAAACCATAGGATATTGAACATCACGTTTTTTAGAAATCTATATAACAGACAGAGGGACGCCTGGCAGATACCATGCTTCATCATATATCTTTCAACTCAATTTTTCACATTTCAGAATACAATCAAATTAGGTTTTTTTTGGCTATACATCAACTCAAGTATTTGAGTATAATATTACAGGGTATATAACAGGTATTTTTGTTTATGGGTCAATGTGCTATTTTAAGCCTGAGTCGGGTATATAACAAAAAAATAAATGTATGAATTAAAGCAAATGTTGCCTAAGCCTCCAGCATCGAATGATGACACCTTCATCCAGCAGGCAAAATATCCTAAACAATACATAACCGCATCGCATACACAGTTCATTCACAGACGGGAGAACAGATGCGGACAAATGAGTCGATTAGCCAGATAAGGGCTTAAGAGATATGCCTCAAAGTCGATGAGACGGTGTCGCAATGACAGAACAAAAGTGAACAAATAAAAAAACAGCAATACCAACAACATTATGAATAAAGTGAATAGCGCGCCCAACGAAATGTTTATTTACCCAAAAATTAGGGTCAGGGCTAGAGGCAAATGACGACAGCAGACAGACAGGCCAGAGGGACGAAGAGATGGGATGGAGCGAGACAGACAATATTTGA